ATATAAAATATTTGAGCACGTTTACCTCAACCTGCCTATGCAAAAATATTTGAGCCCCTTACCCCCTAAGTCTGTCCATGTAAAAATATTGGAGCATTTTGTCCCTCAAAGCTTCCTTAATAAAAATATTTGGATCCTTGGCTCCTTAAACCTGACCATGTAAAAATATTTGGCACATTTACCTTTTCAGTTTACACGTAAAAAATATTTGATTCTTCTACTCCATGGGCCTGCACAAGTAAATATACATATTTGGCCTCTTTTCCTCTTAAGTTTGTCCATGTAAAATTATTTGTTCCTCTTAACCCTTACCTCCATGTCTATTTATACCTCAATCCTGTCCATGTAAAAATATTTGGTCCCTTTATCCCTTAAGCCTCCCTCCCATATCAAAATATTTGGACTCTTTAATCTTTAAGTCTATCTCTGCAAAAATAGTTGGCCATTTTGCAGTGTACTGAACGCTTACCGAAGCACTTTACCCCTAAAGGCTCATGCGTAAAAATATTTCGGATAATTGCCCCTCAAGCCTGCCTATGTAAAAATAATATTTTACGTTTTTGATTCTAATATCAAATTCAGGCAGAAGTTCCATTATGCAGTTTTTTAATAAAGGTCGTGCAAAAATTATCGTTATTTCGTCATCCTGTAGTTTATTCGTGTAAGATCCAAATTTATTTAATATTTTTCACATATTATTTACAATAAATAATCACTCAAATAAAATATTTTAATCGACATTCTAATAATTTTAAATAATTTATTTGGCATTTAAGAGTGACAGCAATAAAAAAATGTGTGGTTTCACAGTTGATAAGCAATGCCGTGCATATATTGACCAATCAGTACACTTAAAGTGTATAAAATAAGCTCTATATGAAATGCTTTGCATTTTAAAAACACTGATATTTAAAATACTAAAGATAAACCGAAAATACTGATATAGAAAAAATTACCAAAGAAACTCATAACCGCAAATTGATTGGCCCTTTCGTTTTAGAGTTATTGTGCCGGCGCATATTACGCACAGACGAACTTTTTTTTGTGGTTTCGTAATTAGAATGATTGGAAAGTCAGTAAAAAATGTTTAAAAATTACTTTTCTCATCAAGATCGCTTGTCTAATTTTCGAAGCGCCAAATATGAAATGAACTTTTTAAAATGTTGAACTTGTGTATTAAGTGTTATCTAGTGCTAAAAAAACCACTGTTCAAATTCTCCTATTGAATTATACAACAAATGGAAAAATAAAACCAAAATGTTCCTTTACGTAGACTAAAAAATAATAAAAAAAAGAAATCTCATTGAGTACGAATATCAATTTCATCATCCATACATCTAGTCCACCCCACATAACGTTATGCCAAACAAACGATACATTCTGGTAAAAAACTGTTTATCTAAATCAGATCTATTTCAACCCGTACAAGCAACGTGGACGTATGCAATGTGTACATTACCCCACTGATTTGTAGATACTGCATGTGACATTGATTTTGGGGGATATTTGATACTTGTTTTTTTTAATAGAATATTTTTTGGGTCTGTAATTATAACAAGGTTTTCAAGTCAATCTGATATTACACTATACATTTTCCGTATTTAGTAGGTAAATAAATACAAGACGTATTTGAATATAAACCGCAATAATTTACGGTAAGTAAAGAGTGATCCACATGAAACAATATCAGGTTTCCAATAGAACAAGGTATGTTAAAATTAAACATGAAGATCAATTAGTAAATGAAAGCGAAGTTCCTCAAGGATTTATCCTTTTTATTATCTATGTTATATGCATCTCATTACCCTTATCTCATATATTAAATTACAAGCGATAACAACTTCCTTTCTGAAAAACAGATCATGTAAAAGCATTCGCAGAATTTAACGTATTATTATGATCAGTTTTTAACTCACATACCCAATAAATGAGGAAATAAAAGACAAAACTCAAACCTATGTTCCTTTCATGGTTCATAAATGTTGTAAATCTCCTTGAAATGGTTTACCAGTTAGTTAGGCAATCCTAATACAAACTGTACAGCTCTTCACCAACTTTTAAATCGATTTTACTCAACACGACATTTTTGGACACACAACATATTTGTCCTTTTAGCCATCGATATAACAATCTTCTTTGATTATTTTGGTACGTGTACAGAGTTACTACACAAATTTGGACAACTAACAAAGTCTCCTTAATTTACATTAAGTTCCAAGAACAGGAATAGCAGCTGCCTCTATATAGACTTCCAATAAATTAACTCTCAAGTCCCTTTCCCTAAATTTAAAACTTTTCGGAAAATAAACATATCCCAATATATCTTCTAAAATTCCGAACGTAGCCTCTGCCGAAATTTACATAGGAAAGACATCACAACTTTTCATTCGATAGCAAACGACCAGCCGCCATTTACATAGTTCTACGTCCAGAATATGGCAAGTGAAATGGATCACAGTGGCCGGAATGATTTGCGAGCCGATCGTCGTCAGTTTTGAATTAACTAAAGAAAGGGTTGACGCATTGTTTCCCGTTTCGCGGAGACATTTGCGGGCCCGGCGCCCGCGCCGGGACGAAACCCTATTGCACTGACCGCCTTGCCGGACATGTATAGGAACTGACCCTTCAACTAGTTAGTATGTGGGCTTGAGAGTACTTTTAATTGTAATGGCATTATTGGTAGTAAACTATAAAGAATACCCAAAAATAACAACTAGGCTATTACCCTAGTCAGTGTCTTTCATTGAACCATTGCAATACGTTAATATTCTTAAAAATAAAAATAATAATTAACCTGTCACGTAAATTTAAATAGATAGTCTTTAGTCGACAGAGGAAAAGACTGAAAGAAGGCCTGTGCCCGAAACTCTTTTCGAAAGGTCGTTTTTCTAGGAGTTGCTGTGTTTTCGTGATCCTATATTCCGAAGACACTTAATATGGTTTCAAAGTAAACATGTGCAGCAAATTTACATATAACAGCAAATTTGTATCGTAGGTAAGCACCGATATCTTTAATTATTTTAAAATGTTGTTTTAAATTTGTTGTTTGGTTTTGTTTTGAGACAATTAATTATTATTCATATAAATGTCAATTTTCAATTTTCGTCCCATGTTTGCTCACTATTCATCATAATTTTCCAATGCTACAATCTCTAAATAGTATAAAACAAAGTCGCTATCTGCCTGTCTGTTACTCCGCTTACTTCTTCTAAACCACGCAACGGATTTTGATACGATTTTCACTAGTAGAAAGAACGATAAACGAAGAAGGTTTTTGTATTAATTTTTACAAAATGACTAAACAAGGCTAGTTTTTTTTTTTTCAAAATAATGCTTCATTTTACATGGCTAACGATGGCCAAATTTTAAGAGCTACATCAAAACAATGTACTAGAAAATTGTAGGTCTTAAAAAGGATTACAGAAAAGTACGAAATAGCATGTGTCTATCTCGTAAGGTACACTCACAAGAACTATTCTGTGTGGCGACCTGTCAAATTTGATAAATAAACAACTAACACCAGGGATCCGATTCTTGAGTTCAATGGAAAAATTTTTCATTGTAATAGATTATGGTATTCTCGGAATTTCTGGAATAGACATTCCCATGAAAACAGTGATTTGATTTCACGTATGTCTGCTATATATTACATAATCATTATGAGACCACCAATAACATTAATGATATTTTAAGTTTTATTATTGGCATTATTGGTGTTAGATAGTTCTTGGCTTGTTTTTTTTTGGTTCGTGGGTAACCAAGCATGTGCCGAGCAACTGCGAGCATGGCCAAGGACACGTGAAGATATTTAATTGTGTATAATTTAAACTTGTGAAATTATTCTTAGTTTTTTTTTTGAGATAAGTGTTCGGAAAACTTAACACTGGTAAACGAATAAAAAATGTATTCTAGTATAATTAGATTGTCGTCCTTTTTACACGATGTCACAGGGATGGCGTTAGGAAGAATTGAAGGAGCCAATATGAGATGAGAATTTGTATGCACCGACAATAGTCGGAATCTGATTGACTTTAAATTTACGAATTCGATTATCAAATCCATGTGCTTTGGTAGCTCAGTTGGTAAGAATACGGACAGCTTTAATTCTTAGCTTTCTTAATTTTTCTTTGGTGTGTTCTCACTTTGGGGATATGAGAGTGTATTTTTTTTAAATTTCCTAGAGGAAATTGGGGATTATTCATTTTCATCCAAAATTGTATAGTGAATTATTGTTATATGCTTAAAACGTGAGTGTTCTGTCTCCCTTACTAATAGAGCTTATTAACTTATCACTAAATTTGTTGAAGGAAATTACATTACACTAAATTTCTTATGTACTGAAATATGAAGGTTATTGTCGGACAAATATTAATTTTCTTATAGGAGGATGACCGTCTTCATTCAACACGCCTTCCTTTTAGCTCAATATGCATAATAAATCTTAGATTATTATACCAATATATTACCTTATAGATCCAATTTAGATCTATTTTACCCTAAGCCTGGCCAATAGAACAAAGTTAGGCACAAAAAGGGTTTATTTGATCATCAGAATTTAATTCTCCGACTCTATAAGATAAATTAAATTTATTTCTAGTATTAATGGAATCATGACGTAAACAACATATTAAAAAAATTCAATGTAGGAAAAATAATTAATTGATATTTAGAATGTTATTTATATCTCAAATGTGGTATGTTCGTAACAGAAGAGAACATTTAATTATTTGTTTAAATAATATGGGCGACTAGTTTCGGTTAATGACCATCATCAGGTCTGTCAGAAAAATACATTGACAAATAAAAATTGTAGAATTATGAGTGAAAATATATTTTTCAAACTAATCGCCAGTGTAATATACATTTCTTTGTGGCTAAGACTTGAGTTTTGTTTTTCTTTAAATTAATTGACGTTTATTATGTATTCTAAATTATATTGTTAAATCAAATTAAAAAATAAAAATAGGTATGCATTATTTTTTTTTAATAAATACTTAAAATTAATCAACACATTTATCTTCATCTACCAAACAGCGTTTTTTCATGACACCTGTGAAGTAATCCGCCGATTTTCTCTTAATTCTTGGCCTATCTGGATCATTGAAATCAACTTTGTACATTCCCAAAAAAGATCTGCAACAAAATAGAGGTTAAATAAAAATACCCTTCGATACTGTACGCAGTAGAATACTAGATTATAAATCGGAGGCTACGACCGTCATTACAACCTTGTCTATGCATAATGCCAGAGACAACAGAGACGTGTAACTTAATAGGAAAATATGTTCGGTGGTCCATTTAAATTACATATATGACCCTCTTTTTCTATTACATTGATCTTTATATATGTCTATCTCTCTCCAATAAAACTAACACCATTTTCAGAGGGCGCTGGTGTTGCTGGTTTTTTGACGTCGAAATATCGATTAAAAGTATTAAAACTGACAACTGACAATGTTATGAATGTTGTTATGAACATGTGCATTTTATTAAAATTAATTTAATTTGGGCCCCGTATATTTCTTTTAGTATGATTTTGTTGTTTAATTAATTTTCTTTGGGGGGGGAATGTTTATTTTTGCATATTATTTTTTGCATGAAGCAATTTCTGGAACCAAACTCGCGTTTTTGTACACATTTCTTTCTAGAGGTAAGTAATTTCCAATTTATTAAGAAAACCACTATATAATGTGTGTGTTTAATAATATATTACACAATGACTATAATTATTTTAGGTGAATTGGAACAGAGATCCATTGTTAGAGCTACTTGTGTTCATTAAGTAGGTAGATGAATGTCTGGACAGCTTTAATGGCAGCACAAAGTTCCTATCTACTAGAAAAGTAAAATGTATGCTGAGTAAAAAATCTGCACATGTAGTATTGGCAAAGGACTTTTGAAATGAATAGAGATTAGCTATTTCTTACATACACCTACCTCTAACAGCCACTCTAAAGGAAGAAAAAAAAAATTGAATCACAAAAGGGCAGAATTTTAAATCAGGATGCATTGGAAAATAAATTTGGGGACATCAGGTCGGTTTTGGATTTTATAGAGAGATCAATCTCAAGAAAAGTTAATTTATCCTGCAGGACAACCAGTAGTTTAAGTAGGATTTGCTATAACTTTATTAGAAATTTTCTTTGATAATAAATTGTAATATAGGTACCAATTATTGTTTCAAATGAAATTGAAAAAGAGTTAAATATGAAATTAGATTTTTCATGAGTAAAATGTTATATTCATTCGAACATTGTAAGGTAATCTATAATTAAGGGAATATGGAAAATAGGTATACCCTGGTGGTGTAAGAGAAAGGTAAGGGGCAATTACAAAAATGTATTTATCTTTAAATAGTGTTTATTATTAATAATATTATTTGCTATGTTTGAAAAGTACCTCCTGCTTCCGAACAGATTGAATAGATTAGACTACTAGTTGGAGAAGGTCCACCTAGTAACCAAATTAGGAGACTAGGAAAACTTTTACATGACTGGGGACACAACACGAATGCACACACACAAGATACACAAACAAAAACGAAATAACAGGGGTAAGCCTTCAGCAACGTCCTGTTTAAATGATAGTATGTCATCCTTCATTCCCTTTTAGAAGGCATGGCATATAAATCTATTGATCTTGATTACTATAAGAGGAGTTAGCAGGTTTCGATCCAGTTTACAGGATGGGAACTTACTTGACTCGGGCCTTATACATTTGTGTTGAGTGTATGTGTGTTTCGTTTCCATGGTTTCTATTAAAATAAACAGTCATAACATATCCATACCTTTTTGCCAGACTAACATAAGTGACATTTGTTCAAATGGCACTTATGATAGTCTGGCAAAAAGGTATCGTTACTATACTTTATAAAATATTTGTTACATTAGTTTTTAAATATATTATGAATATATAACAACTGTTACTTTCTTTGTAATTTGTCACAAAATGATACGAGGTACTTTCTAAACGAAGCAATTGTAGTTTGTTTTTCTGTACCTTACAAAAATATAATTTATAGAAAAAGAGTTTGGTGTATTATTTTTCCAAGTTTAAATATTTAATAATCAATAGAATTTTCAAGTTTTTTTTTAGCGAAATTTACAAGAGTAATAAAAACTATGTTCACTGTTTATATTAAACTGATTAAAACTTCCTTTATTAAAATGATTATTTATGTGATAAAAAATTTGATGTTATTGGAAGCTTTTATATTTTTTTAATATACAGTGAAACAATAGTTTTTGTTTCTCCTGTAAATTTGTATAGAAAAACTTTATTTCTGAATCCATGTTTCAATTTCCCGCCCTAAAGCATTTTTAATTTTCTTGCTATTTACTAGTGGCGCCATCATAGACTGGTTGTGGTTACAATCGCCCAAATAACTTTTACCGAACAAAAAAAAAATACATTGAGTTACACGTCTCGCTGGATTGTCTCTGATAATGCATATGCATTCCTAGGACGCTTGATTCAATTAGAAATTGGAATCGAAAATGTCTATTTCTTACTGACGAGTCCAAATAAGGGCCAAATCGATCCAAGAATGACGTATTCCTTAGGAAGAAAAATCAAAGTTAGAGTGTTGATATTTATTTTCTATCTCTGCTATTTTCATTTTGATATAATGCCATGCCTGTTGCTCTATTAGTCAAAGAATCAATTCTTTTCAGGAGAAAAACGGTCCATTGATGTTTCTGTGATGTAGTCTTTGAATGTTTCTCTTTTTCATTGGTTTTTATTTTGTTTAAATTATTATATACGATTGTCAATAACGCTTCGAAAAGTTATAGTTTTTAAAATAAAGATTTAAAATAGTTACAGTCTATATCATATTAAACATTGGTTCTTCGAGACGGATAATCAAAAATACATATATAAGATTAAGAAGATTCTGTAAACCATAAGGAAGTGAGTGGTTTCTATATAAACTAATTAGCACGATTACATATCTGAATTTTAATACGTAACAAATAAGGTGTCATTTTCTTTGTTGTACATTGTTCCAGCATTGCCAGGGTGAATTCCCTTTCGAAAATTACAGAGTACCCGATTTTACCCAAAGTAATCAAATAAAAATTGCAATAGTGACTAATAAAGTGTTAAAAATGTTTTAAAACATGACTTTGCAAAGAAATGTTGCATTATATAAAATGGAACACGTTATAATCTTTGACGAATAAACTATAAGCATTAATTTATGACAGTTCATAAGTTGGGTAAGATACTTGAAAATCGGGTAAAATCCTCGCTATTAGCAACCCTGTTGCAGTAAATACATTATTCATTACAGCGGATTTTGACTCGCAACCCTGATCAATTTGAATATTTTTCAAACTTACGTATATCCTCCGTTCCATTCCCAATCATCCATTATACTCCAAACAGTATAGCCTGTCAAATTGACGTTATCTTCATAAATGGCATCCAAAAAGGCACTCACATGTCCCTAAAAATTAAAATATCAAAAAAATGTTTACAATTTTTACCCTTTAACATCTTTTTTTCAAGAAAAGTGATTACCTCTAAATAAGTAATACGGTTATCATCTTCAAGGGTTCCGCTGGTGTCTGAAAAACCATTTTCAGTTATAACGATTTCTGGGTTATTGAAAGTCTTCTTCAACCAGCTAAGGAATTTTCTTAAACCCCATGGCACATCCTTAAAGAATATCGTATTATGTAAATTAATCTAAATAAAACGAACACTTCAATTTCAATTTAAAATGGGCTGTAGTGAATATTTTCTGTAAAAATTGTGAGATATTTTGCAGTAATCTTAAAACTAAAGAAAATTAATCATTGAAGTTACTTAATTTTGGATGTACTTTGTCATTCATTCCTGGGTATTGGTCAATTAAGGTTCTTGGTTATTTTTTATGTTCATTTGTAAAAATTAGATGTACACATATTTACATTACATTAAAACAATAATAAAGTACGGAGAAGCATTATTAATATCGTGTGAGCCAACCAGTCCGGTCCTGTCTCGATGTCGACAGCTACTCTGGAGATGTGGACGTTGTCCGCTGCAAGAAGTTACTGGAAAGATCCGAGTCACACGTGACGACTCATAGAAGAAAGGCACCTAGAAAATCGAGAATCTTCGGTAGTACGTACAAAGCCCAAGAAAGCTTCTCATTTAATGTTTATCAGTTGGTTGTGGCCACTGTTTGATAGAAGCGACTTTTGCCTTATCTACATCCGCGCCATTGCGGACTATATGATCCAGATAATTGACTTTATTTTAGAATAATTGACATTTCATGAGGTTTAGCATCAGTTGGGTAGCTTGGAGTCTTTTAAAAACATCTACTGTTCTTGATGGTCATCAAATGTATTTTCTAAGACTATGATGTCGTCTAAGTACATTAGGCACATTTTCCAGAAAAATCCTCTTAAAACGTTTTTCACAAGTCTTTCAAATGTCACGGGGGCATTACATAGTTCAAATAGCATGACATTGAATTACCATAATCCAGATCCGGTAGTAAAGGATGTCTTTTCTTTGTTTACTGGGTCCATTTTCATCTACCAATGTCCAGACTTCAAGTCTAGAGCAGAAAATAATTTTATTTCCGGCCAATGTCGATTCGACACAGAAAATAACTGTCTTTCTTGGTGACATTGTTCAACTGACCGAGTCCACAAATAATCTTGCAATTCCATCTTTTTTCTGGACCAGGACTATCGGAGAAAATCATGGGGTGGTAGAAAATTCTATCACCATGTCTTCATTCATCTCCCGAACAGTCCTTTCAGCTCCCTCTCTCTTAGCCTTTGGTAAACTTCGAGCTGATTGACGAATTGGCCTGGTATCACCAGTGTCAATTTTATATTTTGGTACAAAAATGTCACGAAATCCAGGAAGAAATTCCGTTATATTTCTTTTCTCTAATTGATTCAGAGATTGACCAGCAACTTCAATCATTTGCTCGAATTTGTCGTTGGAATTATCGCAAGTTATTGGTTGACGAACAATGAATCTTACTGACAAAAGTCTGCTAAGCAATTATTTTCACATTTTAATTTGAAGTGTACCTACTGATTTTTGAATTAACAGTTAACAAAAAATTAAATAAGAGACCATGTTCAAAAATTAAAGAACACGTTTTGAGATAAACAACCATGCCATATCCATAGGCAAAATGCATGCATTTTAGTTCGCTTTTACCAGTTCAATTTGTTTTAATTTGATGTGAATACGTTATTGTATTGTTTCTTTAATTTATTTATAGTTTATTTATTTAAAACGCACTATTTACAATTTATTTATGACGTACTAATTAATTTTTATAATACTTAGGCACTAACTCACAATACTAATTTATTTATTACAAATTATATTTTTAGTCCAATACTTTATTCTAAACTGCTCGTCCGCCGATAAGTCGCGTTATTTACACCAAGTTTAACTCTGTAAGGGAAATTTCTAGACGATGTAGAATGTCCTAGAATTCCATCTCTATGATTCAACGGCACGTACCGCTTGTTTTGGTCGTTTCTCGAGAAGGGGTGCGTTTGTCTCTATACGTCAGCGGTGTTTGTATCATGCTTTATTAAATTAGAAATATGGTTTAAAAAATGTAGCCCGTTTTATTCAAAATGAGGAAAAAGAGAAACTTAGCTATATTCCAGACTTAATTTTCTTGGGTTACTCATTTAAGCGAAGGTGGCTTACAAAATCCCACTGAGGAGTTTTTAATAAAATGCAACGAGCTCGATTATATATTTAACAATTATAATGGAGATTAACAGAAAATTGAAAAAAAATCTTTAATTTAAAAAAAAATTAAATAATTTAGCAAAAAATGTGCATTTACTGATAAGGCTAAAAGTCCCTTTGTTCGATTTAAAAATTTAAAAAAAGAATATCAAAGAAACCTACAGAAAGTACAAAATGTCAAAAATATTAAAATAAATATAGAAAATTTTAAATGTATACATCATAAGTACGATCAATGAAAAACCTTTTTCAAGCGATGTATGCACGGCTCGATTCAAAATTCGTACGCTAACTGAGCCTATCTGTTTGTCGTAGTATCATAGGCATGACATATATTTGTCATTACCTATTTTAGAATCATTTATTTTACATTACAATTTCATAGTTACAATAAATATTTAGAAAAATGTTTGTCTAGACTTTTATTTTCTAGTGTTTTACTTTTCATCTCTTACATCGTATTTTATTTTTTCCGTAGTAATCTTTTAAATGATTTTTTCCCTCTTCCGGCTCTGACATGATAAAAATGCGCTAACTCGCGTAAAAGTGGCAAAATAATTTCTTAAATCAGCATACAAGCACAAAATCTGATCATGCAACAAGAAAAGCACCCTACCGAGTGATTTTACTTCTCGTTTATGGCGTTTAGCTCTATACAGTGCTTCAGCACGGTATGACATTCAGTCTTCTCAATAATTTTAATATTCACATTATCAATAGTTTAAAAACCTCGGTAGAAACCAAAATATACATACAAAGAACCAGTCTGCACTGCCCTGGGTCCATTCGGGTCTGTGCCATAACAGAACGCTTTTGTCAGAGTCAAAACTGGGTTTACCAATGGGCGCGTCTGCTGTGTGGTTGGTCAACAAGGTGGAGTAGTGATTGAGACCCAAAAAATCGGAAGTTCCCTTGATGTAATCAATTTCGAAATCTGTAAGTATTGGAAGGCGAGATTCATTGAATCCTTCGAGTTTGCTTCTAGATGAGACACGTTCTTTTACTATTGCAGGCCAGTCTCCGTTGAAAAGAGGGTTGCCATAAATACCAATCTAAAAAATATATATATAAATTTTAAATAAATTTTAAATAAATTTTAAATAAATTTTAAATAAATTTTAAATAAATTTTAAATAAATTTTAAATAAATTTTAAATAAATTTTAAATAAATTTTAAATAAATTTTAAATAAATTTTAAATAAATTTTAAATAAATTTTAAATAAATTTTAAATAAATTTTAAATAAATTTTAAATAAATTTTAAATAAATTTTAAATAAATTTTAAATAAATTTTAAATAAATTTTAAATAAATTTTAAATAAATTTTAAATAAATTTTAAATAAATTTTAAATAAATTTTAAATAAATTTTAAATAAATTTTAAATAAATTTTAAATAAATTTTAAATAAATTTTAAATAAATTTTAAATAAATTTTAAATAAATTTTAAATAAATTTTAAATAAATTTTAAATAAATTTTAAATAAATTTTAAATAAATTTTAAATAAATTTTAAATAAATTTTAAATAAATTTTAAATAAATTTTAAATAAATTTTAAATAAATTTTAAATAAATTTTAAATAAATTTTAAATAAATTTTAAATAAATTTTAAATAAATTTTAAATAAATTTTAAATAAATTTTAAATAAATTTTAAATAAATTTTAAATAAATTTTAAATAAATTTTAAATAAATTTTAAATAAATTTTAAATAAATTTTAAATAAATTTTAAATAAATTTTAAATAAATTTTAAATAAATTTTAAATAAATTTTAAATAAATTTTAAATAAATTTTAAATAAATTTTAAATAAATTTTAAATAAATTTTAAATAAATTTTAAATAAATTTTAAATAAATTTTAAATAAATTTTAAATAAATTTTAAATAAATTTTAAATAAATTTTAAATAAATTTTAAATAAATTTTAAATAAATTTTAAATAAATTTTAAATAAACTACACATTAGGTGAACTTTTAAATAATTGGTTTTAATTGAAAATAATGATTTTTTCAATTTTCAGTAGTAAGACGACTTAAATTAGACTTTTATACTTAACTTGGTGAAAAATAAAAATTTTAAATAGTGTATATTCAGAAATAAGTCGATTAAACTTTTAAAGTAGATAGACGGTTTTTATACGGAGTGATACCCAGTCCTTAATAAATAAGAACATAAACCTTAAAAGCAATTTTAATTATTTCAATACATATTAATAAAATTGTCAACCAAAAGTAAATATTATGACATCTAAATCTGTGCTGATTTTATCTTTAATAATAATAAAGGTTGTTAAAATGTATGTCTTGTTGCAATATTTCGTATATTTCATAAAATTCATTACGGAATAAATTTAAATATTGAACATTTGTCTACTAGTATGCTGGTTCTTCAACAATTTATTTCGGATTTCCTTGGCGTTTATTAGATATATTAAATATACAATGAAAAGCAAATAAAAACTTACATCAAATTGCATTGCTCTTTCTGCTGCTTCGTTATCTTTATCATTATCACTACCTGGTTCATACCAGGTTGAGTCTATAACCATACCAACTTGTCCTATATTTAAAAAAATATATTAATCGGTGAGGTAATACAACCACAGAAAAATATTTATTGTACCTTTATTTGTCTTCCTAAAGAGTTCATCATAAATGTGCCAAGCTTTGGCATGGGCCAATAATACATTTTTTGTGCAAACGTAATCCATAATACCATCAGATACAATTCCTGGAGCTAACATACCAGAACCATAACCTGCTTGACAAACCTGCTTGGGTTCGTTGATGGTAATCCACCAATTAGCATCATCTCCGAAGGTTTCCCAACAGAATTTGGCATATTCAGCAAAAATATTTACAATAGATTCGTTTAGCCAACCTCCCATTTGCTCTTGAAGAGGTTGAGGCAAATCCCAATGATACAAAGTTACCATTGGAATTATATTGTTATCCTTCAACTCTTTAAACAAATTTTTATAGTACTGAACACCAGCTTGGTTTACGTTATCAGTGTATCCAGTGGGAAGAACTCTAGACCAGGCTATGGAGAGACGATAATGGTCTAGACCCATAGCTTTAACTAAGGCTACATCTTCTTTGTACTTATTGTAAGAGTCACATGCGATATCTGGTGTTGAGCGGTCTACTATTCTTTCTGGGAAGGTATAATAATAATAATAATAATAATAATGTTTATTTTTCATTTTTCATTGTTCTTTATGTGTACCATGTAAATACAAGATATAGTTTAAAGCTTAATTAACAAATAATAAGAATCTTAAATTAATACCATGATAGGACAATATAGTTAATTAAATGTGTACCTAAAGGTTTACAAACATAAAATAAACAGGAATCCCTAAGAAACCTTAACGGTTGTGTAAGGGATATAATATAAGATGTAAAATTAATATTTAAATATAAAATACAAACCCAATGTAATTTAGTTATTTATCATATGGTGGATAAGATGTCTGTCTGTTAAATAAATATATTTCTCAAGATATTTTTTGAATAAATTTAGACTATTTATCGTCAGAAAATAGGTTTTATAAATTTCAGGTAGGTTGTTAAAAAATTTAGCTGAAAGGTAAGTATAACATTTCATTCCTATGGTTTTTCTTACTGAAATTGTAGCGACATAATTATTGCGTTTTTGACGTGTATCATAAGAATGAGCTATATTTTGTAGGAGAGACTTATTTTTATAGGTGTATATGATAACATTAAAGTAAAACAACTGCCTGATATCAAATACATTACTTTCTTGAAAAATTAAATCTGACGAGTATATCCATGGTTTTTTGTAGATTATTTTTAAGATCTTTTTTTGTAAGACTTCTAATCTACGCAGGTGGCTATTCGAGCAACCCCCCCAACATAAAATACAATATTGAAGTCGTGATTCTATGAATGCATGATATAATATTTTTAATTGTTTTAACGGTAGTAAATTACTAAAGTATTTAAATTTATACATCATAACTCTTAAAGTTTTTGTTACTTGTAGGATGTGGTGGTCCCATCTCAAATGTGAGTCTACAGTTATTCCTAAGTATTTAATGTTATTTTTAACATGAATTTTTGAAAGTTTTCCAGGTATATTAAGGAAGGTGTAAGACGGTAAGTGATTCTCGTAACTCGCAAATGGAATGAAGTAAGTTTTCTGGAAGTTTATAGTCAATAGGTGATGATCGAACCAGTTAATTACTCTTGCCAAATCATTTTCAGCTACAGTTTTTAAATTTTCCCATGAATCAGAGGAATACAAGATTGCAGTATCGTCGGCAAAACTATAAACTTTTCCCACAAAATTTTGGGTAAGTAACCCATTTATATATATGGAAAATAGCAACGGTCCTAAAACCGTGCCTTGTGTTCTTTACTTATAGATTCACCGATTTTTACTGATTGTTTACGATCGTTTAAATAATCTTTTAAAAGGTTCATTGCTAAGCCTCGTATACCTGCATCCTCCAAGGCATCAAATAATTGTGTATGATCCACCGTATCGAATGCCTTGGCAAGGTCCAGAAAAACACCCAAGGTGGGTCTCCCAAGATCCATACGATCATACAGTTCACCGATTATACGAGCAGTTGCATCATTTGTCGATATTCCTTTTTTGAATCCAAATTGTAGATCTGATATAATTGAGTTTTTTTTCAAAATAATGTGATAGTCTATTTTTTAGAGATTTTTCAAAAATTTTACAAAATGTATTAATGAGTGAGATAGGTCTGTAGTTTCCTACTTCACTTTTACTTCCTTTTTTGTATATAGGAACTACTACCGCCTTCTTGAAACTAGGCGGAACTATAGCTGTGTCATATATTTTATTTATTAAATGGACCAGTAGTGGCGCTATTTCTTTGGAAATTAGTTTAACAGTAGTTCCCTTTATTTTATCTTCTCCTGGTGCTTTTCCAGTCTTTAGTTCGTTTATTATGTCTAGAATTTCATGTTTTTCCACGGGTGTCATAAAAAATGAGTTTTGGATAGTAGCTCTTTTCGGTTTACTTGTTTGGGGTTTATTAATATTTTTTGCATAACTCTCTCCTACCGACGCAAAATAATTGTTAAAATAGTTTGCTATACGAAAGGGATCTGTTAAAATCTCTCCATCAGCAGATTGTATTTCTTTTACAAATTGTTCTCTATTTACTCCACATACATTATTTACAATATTCCATAAATTCTTAGTATTCCCGTATTATTATCAATTTTTTTCTGAAAGTATTTAGATTTTGTCTGTACTATTATTTTGTTTAATTTATTTCTAAATGTTGTATACGCATTTTTTTTTTTGTTATTTTGAGGATCAGCTTTATGTAAATTATATAAATTAGCTTTTGTTTTAATAGATGTTATTATCCCTTCAGTGATCCATTCAGTTCGTGGTTGCTTTTCCCGTTTAAGTTTTATTTTAGTTGTGTTTTTATTTACTAAGTTACTAATAGTTTCTTGTAAATATGTAGAAAGAAAAATTGGATCTGTAGAAGAGTAAAAAGATGCCCAAGAATAGTTTACTATATCTTTTTTTAAGTTTTCATAATTGGTATAAAACTTAAATTTTAAATTATTATTATTATTGATATTAATACTAGTGTTCGTATTTGTATTATTGTAATCTAATTCCAAACCCCCAATAACAGTTTTATGATTATTAATAGATGTGGCGTATGTTAAGGATAAACAATTTGTAAGTTTTTCGTTTTTTCTAGTTTTGACAAAAATGTGATCAATACAACTAGTAGACTCACCCTGCTCGTTAGTTACAGCATTTAATAATGAGACAAAATTGTATTCTCCCATTATATCTAAATATTCACTTACCGGATCCCACCTCTCCTCCTTCAATATATCCAGATTTATATCTCCTACAAAATAATGCTCTTCTATTAGGTATGCTTTTGTTTGTTCTAGGTATATTTGCAGTGCATTTAAAAATTCGTCTTTATCTCCAGCGGGAGACCTATAGAGGCAGGTAACAAGAATATATTTATTTTGTGAGGTTTTAATTTGTAGTTCAATCGCTTTACAATGCGCTAGTCTTATTATTTTTGCTGTGTATTCAATATCTTTTTTAACATAGACCACTACTCCATCATTTCTGTTATAATCTCCTTCATTATATAGAGTAATATAGTTTTTAAGTTTATGACAATTAATATCAAGAATTTTAAAGGTTTCTGTTAAAACAATTAATTCAAAATTACATGTAATTTGCTCCAAATTTATTTTATATTCATCTAAATTTTTGTTGATACTTTGTATATTTTGATGTAGTATTTTAAAGTGAGTTTTATTATATTTATTTAAATATTTATTAACTTCTAAAATATTTTTACATTCCATCGTACTTACTGGATTAAAATTAAAATCTCGAGCAAAGTGATCCCAAATGGTTTCACCTTTACCATCAGCATCCCAACCTCCTTCGATTTGAGGAGCAGCGTTTGCTACTCCAATCCTTAACGAGGAAGGGAATCTTCTTGGATTAATGGCATCTTGGGCTAAGCTAAAAATATAAATAATTATTTTATGTTAGGATTAGTTCATTATTACATTATTGAAATAGGTGATGTCGGCAAGGCAAAGGAAGCTGGGAATAAGGTAAGAAATTTTAATTTGTAGTACGATTATTGTTGGTACTTCTACATATAACCTCAGATGCACAAAAAAATAACACATTTTTCATGGCTTTACCAATGAAAAAAGCAAATCTATAGGTTCGGAAATTATAAATTGTTATATACTTTATTAGAGTCAGACTTCAATCAATATTATAAAATAATATAACACGAGTGGTTTTGGGATTACGATAATTGTATAAGAAAATGTACAGAACATATTGTAAAAAATTAATTTGACAAAACGCTAAGTACCCCGATATCAAAAGTTGTATTCATTCAGTCAATTATGTCACGAATTATTAAAATATAAGATCTCAATAATTTCCAGTTACCGTACAGAAACAATAAAAAAACATGACATGCTTGCCTACTAGATCGCTTTAAGGTACCGGGCATGATTATTAGCTATTAGTTAAGTATGGTAAATAATTATTAATTATTAATCATTAAAAGTATAGGAAGTTATTACATTGTGAGTGCTATAATCACTTAACATAAACAACCATTAACTTACCCTAAGGAGACTAGACAGCTCAAAATTAGGAATACCTTCATTGTACGAGAATCGTGTACCTACTGCCATCAATAATATGTAGCGTATCGTCGAATTTATGTTTTATTAAAGTTTTAATCATGAGTGTCTCTCGTGCTCGTACGTACTTTACCACTAAAATTTGAAGTGTTTTTGTATAATGATTAATGAAAATTAACCTAAATATTTTAATAATATAGTATGATAATAATCAGGTAAAGAAAAAAAAATCTCTTATTTTTTACAATAAATTAATATCAAAATCTATCAAACTACGATTATATGCAATGGTTGGAAAACACTTTGCTGTTTTTTGCTTGCTTCTTGGTTTATTTGGATCTTTTCAAATTTAAGAAGTTCGTCTATGAACAACAACTTGAAGTAATTTAGTTGTTATGTTAAATTGTTGTGCGAGGGCCCCTCCGATCCTAGACTTCACTTTACAAGCCGCCTAGCTATCTATGTACCTACTGTTGCTGCCCACTCGATTAATGATCGAGACCAGACTCAAATGTTTTCTATCGCAGTTGGACGCGTGGAGGTAATTTCCAGAACTTCTAAACTGAGCTTCTAGTCAGAGTTGGACCTTTCTACACTGTTACAATTGTATATATATATGTAAGTTCTTTCGCCGTTTAAGCTAAGTTTCGATATAAATATTGTCAAGAAATGGTAAAACGTTCAAATGAATTAGAAGTGTGAATAGTGCTTAAGTATTAAATAAATTAATTTTTAAATAAATATTTTTAAATTAAACAATCGTTACAATAATATTACTTATAATTTAATGTCGTAATAAATAACTCCTATATTTTAAAATTAACAGTTTATAAAACTGATAAATGTCCACCAAAAATGTTGGACGCTAGTACATATTTTGGCCCAAATAGTACGTAAATAGTACACATATTATGCAAATAGTACAGAAATAGTATACAAATTGTAGATACAAATAGTAGACACAAATTGTAAACACAAATTGTAGACACAAATTGTAGACACAAATTGTAGACACAAATTGTAGACACAAATTGTAGACACAAATCGTAGATAAATATTATACAAGATAAAAAAATTTTTTGATGGCTAAAAGAAGATCCCTGATATTAAAATTAAGTTGATGACCTAAAAAAAGATAGTAGCTCAATTTTTCTTTGGATCACAATTGCTGTAGTAGAAACCCTACACCAATAATTCAAAATATTAAACAAATAGTATAGTACACAGTAGTACACAAATAGTACACACATAGTACTCAAATAGTACACAAATAGTACACAAATAGTACACAAATAGTACACAAATAGTACACAAATAGTACACAAATAGTACACAAATAGTACACAAATAGTACACAAATAGTACACAAATAGTACACAAATAGTACACAAATAGTACACAAATAGTACACAAATAGTACACAAATAGTACACAAATAGTACACAAATAGTACACAAATAGTACACAAATAGTACACAAATAGTACACAAATAGTACACAAATAGTACACAAATAGTACACAAATAGTACACAAATAGTACACAAATAGTACACAAATAGTACACAAATAGTACACATATGTACACAAATAGTAAACAAATAGAACACAAATAGTACACAAAGAGTACACAAATAGTACACAAATAGTACACAAATAGTACACAAATAGTACACAAATAATACACAAATAGTACACAAATAAATAGTACACAAATAAATAGTACACAAATAGTACACAAATAGTACACAAATAGTACACAAATAGTACACAAATAGTACACAAATAGTACACAAATAGTACACAAATAGTACACAAATAGTACACAAATAGTACACAAATAGTACACAAATAGTGCACAAATAGTACACAAATAAATAGTACACAAATAAATAGTACACAAATAAATAGTACACAAATAAATAGTACACAAATAAATAGTACAGAAATAAATAGTACACAAATAGTACACAAATAGTACACAAATAGTACACAAATAGTACACAAATAGTACACAAACAGTACACAAATAGTACACAAATAGTACACAAATAGTACACAAATAGTACACAAATAGTACACAAATAGTACACAAATTGAACACAAATAGTACACAAATAGTACACATATAGTACACAAATAGTACACAAATAGTACACAAATAGTACACAAATAGTACACAAATAGTATACAAATAGTACACAAATAGTACACAAATAGTAAACAAATAGTACACAAATAGTACACAAATAGTACACAAATAGTACACAAATAGTACACAAATAGTACACAGCTAGTAAACAACTAGTACACAAATAGTACACAAATAGTACACAAATAGTACACAAATAGTACACAAAAAGTACACAAATAGTACACAAATAGTACACAACTAGTAAACAACTAGTACACAAATAGTACACAAATAGTACACAAATAGTACACAAATAGTACACAAATAGTACACAAATAGTACACAAATAGTACACAAATAGTACACAAATAGTACACAAATAGTACACAAATAGTACACAAATAATAATAATAATAATAATAATAAAAATAGGGGGGTGGGTTGGCTCAGTGGTTAGAGTCATGACTTTGAGATCGGAAGGTCTCAGGTTCGAATCCCACCGTTGGCCGGGATTTTTTCATTTAATTTAATTATTTGAAATTAATTCTGATGCCTTGGTAGGATTCCCCACTCGACCATTCACTGTTGGGTTCTAATTAACAGTGCTGTTCCTAAAGTGGCGCTGGGAAACAGTAACAAAGCCTACACAGAACACGAGGCTAATGGCCGTAGTAGTCGACGCCGATGACACCAAATTAAAAAAAAAAAAAAAAAAAAAAAAAAAAAAAAAAAAAAAATAATAATAATACTCTCCCTAATTCACCCCCTTACGAGTGAATTTTAACCCCAAAAGCTGAGCTTGTCCGGGGAAAGGGACGGCTATTATTATTATTTGCCGTGGCGCTCCGGGGCGACTTAAAGATGATTGATGGTGCCATTTGACTTACAGGTGAGGAAAACCCGGAAAACCTCACCCACCATCATCGAGACGGTAATGTATGGCGAATTTTTTTAATCTGCATGTCATATCAACAGAAATTGAATTTCTATTAATACGCCACACATCAAATCCTAAACCGAACCATGCAATTTAATTAAAAATCCACATGGTCTGGTCTGGGATTCGAAACCCAGCAGTCTCAGACTCATAAACTTGCCTATAAATGAATATAAGCGCGATAGACCGCTACACCACCGTGCCCGTACACAAATAGTACACAAATAGTACACAAATAGTACACAAATAGTACACAAATAGTACACAAATAGTACACAAATAGTACACAAATAGTACACAAATAGTACACAAATAGTACACAAATAGTACACAAATAGTACACAAATAGTACACAAATAGTACACAAATAGTACACAAATAGTACACAAATAGTACACAAATAGTACACAAATAGTACACAAATAGTACACAAATAGTACACAAATAGTACACAAATAGTACACAAATAGTACACAAATAGTACACAAATAGTACACAAATAGTACACAAATAGTACACAAATAGTACACAAATAGTACACAAATAGTACACAAATAGTACACAAATAGTACACAAATATTACACAAATAGTACACGAATAGTACACAAACAGTACACAAATAGTACACAAATATTAGAACAAATAGTACACAAATAGTACAAAAATAGTACCCAAATAGTACCCAAATAGTACCCAAATAGTACTTAAATAGTACACAAATAGTACACAAATAGTACACAAATAGTACACAAATAGTACACAAATAGTAAACAAATAGTACACAAATAGTACACAAATAGTACACAAATAGTACACAAATAGTACACAAATAGTACACAAATAGTACACAAATAGTACACAAATAGTACACAAATAGTACACAAATAGTACACAAATAGTACACAAATAGTACACAAATAGTACACAAATAGTACACAAATAGTACACAAATAGTACACAAATAGTACACAAATAGTACACAAATAGTACACAAATAGTACACAAATAGTACACAAATAGTACACAAATAGTATACAAATAGTACACAAATAGTACACAAATAGTACACAAATAGTACACAAATAGTACACAAATAGTACACAAATAGTACACAAATAGTACACAAATAGTACACAAATAGTACACAAATAGTACACAAATAGTACACAAATAGTACACAAATAGTACACAAATAGTACACAAATAGTACACAAATAGTACACAAATAGTACACAAATAGTACACAAATAGTACACAAATAGTACACAAATAGTACACAAATAGTACACAAATAGTACACAAATAGTACACAAATAGTACACAAATAGTACACAAATAGTACACAAATAGTACACAAATAGTACACAAATAGTACACAAATAGTACACAAATAGTACACAAATAGTACACAAATAGTACACAAATAGTACACAAATAGTACACAAATAGTACAAAAATAGTACACAAATAGTACACAAATAGTACACAAATAGTACCCAAATAGTACACAAATAGTACCCAAATAGTACCCAAATAGTACCCAAATAGTACCCAAATAGTACACAAATAGTACACAAATAGTACACAAATAGTACACAAATAGTACACAAATAGTACACAAATAGTACACAAATAGTACACAAATAGTACACAAATAGTACACAAATAGTACACAAATAGTACACAAATAGTACACAAATAGTACACAAATAGTATACAAATAGTACACAAATAGTACACAAATAGTACACAAATAGTACACAAATAGTACACAAATAGTACACAAATAGTACACAAATAGTACCCAAATAGTACCCAAATAGTACCCAAATAGTACCCAAATAGTACACAAATAGTACACAAATAGTACACAAATAGTACATAAATAGTACACAAATAGACACAAATAGTACACAAATAGTACGCAAATAGTATATTAAAATCAATATACAA